AGCCCTTCATGCCCAGGGAAGGCTCTGGTTGGCTCTGCTTGGGTCATGTGCTCATCCTGAGCCAGTTGTTACTGCTTGAGTGAGTGGCTTGCCTGGGGTACCTACACAAAATGGCAAAGGGACACGGCTGCACCAAACCACACCAAATGAGGAAAGAGTCCCAAGAGAAAGTAGGTCAATCAGCTGAGCTGACGAAATTGCATCCGCTATCCACTATATACAGCCATCATTTACATGGTCACCTCTTGATCCTCAGGGGCTTTACGTATAATGTTCATCGTTTCACAGTTATGTAAAGAGATTCACCCCCACATTATAGATGAGGCTTGAACTGTTTAAATAATATAGCCACAGATGGAAACGTTGTCAACAGAGGACCTGACTTCTGACTTCAGATCTGTCTGCTCCTTCTACGATATCCTGGTGGCCTTTTACGGTTGAGAGGGAGTGAGGATAATCTGTCAGGGGGAGCTTCTTGGACACAGATCACACATAGGCTGCCCTGAAATAATGCTTTTGGAAAGACAAATCCCCTTCTGGTTCTGCCTGTAGATTCTCCTGGATGCTCCATCTCTGTAGGCGACAAAGGCTGCTGTGCCAGGAGGCAGGTAGGAAGCTGGCCCATTCCAGTCACTGGAGATGGCCAGGTGCTGACTGATCTCAGCCTTGGACCTACACTGTGCCCTGTGCCTTTGGGTAAACCCACCCTATCTTCTCTGGGTCCCCAACATTATACAATGTTGGCAAAAATCTTACTGCTATTGCACACAGGGTTCTTCTGATAGTCACAAGCATACAAATAAAAAATCTTGTTTCATAAGATAAAACAATGATGATGATGACGATCATGAGAGCTTCTTATTCAATTCTTGAAGAACAGAGGGAAAACGTGGGGGCAGTGTTTTTTCTCTTCAAGGGAAAGGAGGACTGCCGCTTGTGTGAGTTTTTGGCAATTTGGAAAATCATTTTCCCAGACCTCAGAGTTCAGCTGTGCACACACACAGGCACAGTACACGTAGTTCGTCTTTATGGTTACTCTTTCTGTGCTGCCATATTGTGGTTTCCCAACCAGTATCCCAGGGGACAGCTTCCTCATTTCAATTCGTATTTTTAATAGCATTTCTTTCTGATCATAAAAATAGTATTTGTGCAAAATTTGGAAAATAAAAAAGTGAGAAAAAAAAAAAACTCACCTGAATTGCTCCACCCAGAGATACAAAACACATTTGGATAGCAACTGACACTAGAATCATATACAACTTAATATCCTGCATTATTCTGCTATCAACACATTAGTGGCATTTCCCCATCACAAAAAACTTCATAAACATTGTTTCAGCAGACATTTCTTGCATTGCTGTACTATAGTTAACTGCACAGGGTAACAGGCCTTTGCGCAGAGGTCTGGGAGTGGGCCGGACAGCTGGGCCCTCGGGGTCTTCTGTGCAGAGCTGGAGGGATGCAGGGGCGGGAGACCTGAGCCCTGAAGAGGCAGAAGGAAAGGCAGGCCCAGAACACGTTGCATATTTACTTATCTGTTCATTTATTCTTGCCTTAATATTTGAGGCTCCATTAGGTACCAGTTTCCCTTCCTGTTCTCCTATCAATGCCCATTTCAGGTCTTCAACATCCCTCTCTTAAAGAGCCTCCCTGCCCCTTCCCAGATCCCATCCTGTCCCAGATGTGGTGCACTCCTGGGAAAGGAGCCCTATGGAACCCACCACTGTTTCTGCTAAGCCCAGCTCAGGACCAGTACCTAGGAGGTGCTCAGAACTGTTTGGAGACTGAGGGACAGAGCAAACATGAATAATAACAGCAAACAATGTCAATAAATAGGGGAATAAATAGCTAACACTCATGTTTTCAGTTTTGCATGATCATAAATTAAGGTGACAGAAGTCTGTGTGATTAAACTTTGCTGAATTTTTATTTATTTCCTAGACTTGAAATTCTAGGATTGAAGAATGAAAGCATTTGATGAATCTTAATACATACTGCAAGATCACTTTCCAGAAATTCCATTTGCTGTTATACTCTCAGAAGAGTGCATGTGAGTGTCTGTGTTTCTGGTTTTAAGTAATGTAATTTAAAAAACTGTTCACTGATTTGATGAAAGTGGAGGAAGGAATGATATTTTCATTGATTTAATGAATGCGTTTTAAATTTCCTGGTAAGACTGGACATCTAAAGTTTTGCTTTTTGTTTTTTTTTAAAGTAATCTCTATACCCAATGTGGGGCTTGAACTCATGACCCTGAGATCAAGAGTCACATGTTCCTCTCACTGAGCCAGGCAGGTGCCCCAAGACTGAACTTTTAAAACCTGTTTATTGATCATTTGAATCTCCAATTTTGTGACTTGTCCATTTGTGTTATTTGCCCAGTTATATTGGGATCTTAGTGTTTTTCTTGTGTATTATGAGAGTTCTATTTTATTTTCAAAAATATTTCCTTAGGGGGTGCCTGGGTGGCTCAGTGGGTTAAAGCCTTTGCTTTCGGCTCAGGTCATGATCCTAGGGTCCTGGGATCGAGCCCCGAATCTAATTGGGCTCTCTGCTCAGCGGGGAGCCTGCTTCTCCCTCTCTCTCTGCCTGCCTCTCTGCCTACTTGTGATCTCTGCCTGTCAAATAAATAAATAAAATCTTAAAAAAAAAAGAATTACCGTGTTTAAAGATAGAGCTGTGTGTGTGTTTAGTTATTAAGGCCAAATAACATATTACGGAATATTTAGGGAATTAAGAGGAAAGAATCAGCCATAATGCTTTAACCTTAAACACATCTATTTCTTTTGTGCATGGTCCTTTTGAGTCTTGGATCATGAGCACTTGTATTTATTTTTAGTGGTTGCAAGGATAGTGCACACAGTTTTTGGTCTTCTCCTTTTCACTCACAATTATACCGTAAGCATTATTTTCATGTTGCTATAGCCCTGTAACGGTTGTTTAGAATGATCCCTCACTGGACCCTTCGGTTGCTGTGCAAGCTAACTGATTCTATTCTGCCAATAACCGTGTAAGTTGCTTCTAATTTTTTTTTTTTTTTTTTTTTTTTTTTTGTCAAGGGATATTTTGAAACACCGAAGTCCAGCAAAGCAGAATCTCCCACTGTTCCCTGGGAGCCAGCTGGAATACAGTTTGACTTCTGCTCCTTTCCTCCTTTCCTCAGAGGAGTGTTGGGAGAAATCACTCTTAGGGAATGGTTAGAAATGGCAATCATAAATTAGGAAAAGAGACCATGAGGTGAAAGCATGTTGAGCTTTTAGAAGAAAGTTGCTTTAGCAACTCAGGCCAGGTCGTTTAGGTTTTGTTTTTGTAACTTGTGAATCGATCATGAGTTTATAATAATAATTTTGACAAAATGCTTTCCATTTGTGCAGTGCTTGGTGTTTTTTCTGGGAAGCAATTCAGTGTCTCAGCTGAGGGCTTTAGTGCCAGAAGATCTGGGTTTGGATATCTGCTTATCCCTTGTGACCTGCAGCAAGCCTCAGTCTATCTTTCTGCAAAATAGGAGTAATAATAGTCCAGGAGGGAGGTTACAATCATCCTCTGTGGGTGCTGAGCAGTAATGGGAAGAACCAGAAGGAGCAGCCAGAGTTTGGGGGGACTTCCAGGCAGAGGGAAGCCAGAACCTTTTATCTCCTGGGCCTCAGTTTCTCCACTTGTATGGGGAAGGGTCTTGGTGTATGATCTGCAAAATCTTTCCTACTCCTCCCAGGAGCCTCGCAGGGGCCCCTTCCCTGGCTTCTGTCCGTTGTCCTCAGCAGGGCCTCCAGGACTCCTTTCTCCACTCAGCTCTACCAAGTCTCTGAAATATCCTCCAGGGCTGTCCTTGGCCTCCAGGACAGCAAAGGGCTGTGGCATCCTTTAAAGCCTCTGACGTGATTTGGGGAAGGAGTGTGAGAGGAATCAGTAGATTGAATATATATTTATAAATTTCGAATGAGTGTCATTGATTTGTTGGCAGAGCTGGTTAGCAATAACTTTATCCTCTTTTTGAATAATGATCATCAATCATTTTTTTTTTTTTTTTCCCCCAGCACAGAAGAGAAGACAGCCCACAGTATAGTGTTTGAGACCCTGGAATGCAGAATCAAGAGATTTGGTTTCAGGCCAGTCTGTGCTTCATTTTTTTTTTTTTTTAAAGATTTTATTTATTTATTTGACAGACAGAGATTACAAGTAGGCAAGAGAGGCAGGCAGGGAGAGAGAGGAGGAAGCAGGGACTGGATCCCAGGATGCTGGGATCATGATCTGAGCCAAAAGGAAAGCAGAAGCTTTAACCCACTGAACCACCCAGGCGCCCCTCCCCCCCTTTTTTAAAAAGATTTTATTTATCCACTTGACAGAGAGAGAGAGAGAGAGAGATCACAAGTAGGCAGAGAGAGAGTAAGAAGCAGGCTCCCCACTGAGCAGAGAACCCGACGAGGCGGGGCTTGATCCCAGGAGGGAGAGGCTTAACCCACTGAGCCACCCAGGTGCCCCATGTGCCTCATTTGTAAAAGGGGAATGATAATAGCACCCACCTCTTAGGGCTGTCGTGGAGGCACCTAGCTGAGTGTCAGGCACACAGTAAGCGCTTAGTAATGTTAAATAGTAGTAGTAGTAATAGTACTAGTAGTAGTAATAATAACTCTCAGCAAATGCTAAGATGGAGATCCTGGTTGGCATGGAACTAGGTGCCAGGGACAGAGATGTGAAGTTGTCCCAGAGGCCCCCAGAGAACCCAGGTGGAAACCCGTGTCTATAGGCCAGGAGGGGGCGGAACGTCCGGCGTGAGGCCAGAGCCCAGCCCCAGGCAGGAGAGCGGCTTTCTGCCGAGCGCTCGCAGCCGGCGTTTCTCTGATTCCAGGGACACGCACCAATCGTAGCTCTTAAACCCTGGTCTTTGAACGCACTGGTCTCAAAGTGGCCTCCTCTCTGGGGAGGACCGGCATCTTAGTCTCCGCCCCAGGGCGGTGTCATAGGAGTGTCCCAGGAGTCCCACTCGCCGCAGCTCCCGGCATACGCGCGCACCGCTCCCTCCTTCTTAGCCAAGCGTTCCGGGGCCCGCAATGGCCCTTTAAAAGGCAGAGTCTAGTCCAGAGGGGGCGGGCGGGGGGCGCTGACCGCCGTCCGAGGCCCGGCCCCTCCTCCCTGCCCCTCCCTCGGTCCGTCCCTCCCTGGGTCCCCGCGTCGCTCGCCCCCTCGTTCGGTCGCCGGGCGCACGCTCCGCCTCCGTCAGTCGGCTCGGCTGTCTAGCGCGCAGCGTGGAGCCGGAGCCGGGGCCGGACGCGCGGCTAGGGGCTGGGGGCTGGGAGATCGGCGCCCGCCACCGGGCCAGGCCTGAGCCGCGATGGCTGAGATGGGCAGCAAGGGGGTGACGGCAGGGAAGATCGCCAGCAACGTGCAGAAGAAGCTCACGCGCGCGCAGGAGAAGGTGAGCGAGCCCGATCCCCGGCCTCCGCGCGGTCCAAGCCACCTGTCCCCCCCTTCCCATCCCTCCCCCCGCAGGGGCTGGTCCTCACCCGGGATCGGGCGCTGTCACCTCCGGACGACCGCTGCCGAGGGCCTTCGGGGCTCCATAGGCTGTGGCCCCCGACGTTCTGGGCGCCTCTACGGCCCGCGTCTTCTGTCTCCCCACCCCCAGCCGGGGCAGAAGGGGGCGCAGCTGTCCTCTCACCCCCTCCTCCGCACCCCCCCGCTCTCCCCACCCCCAGCTTTGTATATTCTCAGCCTGTCCGCGGAGAAGAGGCGGCCCACGCTCTTCTCCGGGCGCGAGGTCCAGTAAATCCTGCCCTGGAGGCCGAGGGCCGGGGGGCTGGGAGGCGAGGTGGCGCCCCTAGTCCCCCAGCCCTGTGCGGGCCACGCGGGCTGGGCCCTTGCTAGGGGGAGGGAGCCTGCCCCTTGTGTCCCAGGGCCGCTCTGCTCCGGGAATCCCGAGGCTGTCCCTCAGCCCTCGGGTGCCAGCGGTCTACCTCCAGGCCTCTGGGCGCTTCCTGCGCCCGCTGTTCCTCCTCCCCACCCTCCTCTCCACCTTCTGTCCCCGCGGGCTGAAGGAGGGATCGGGTTTCCTTTCCTGAGAGGTGCCGGAGGCCTGGACACTCCGGCCCGGTCCCCGGGGAGCACAGCACTGCGCGCCCCTCCGGGAGGTGCCCTCCTCCGAGCCCCGGCTTTGCGTTTCCCGCGGCTGGGAAGGGGGTGGTGGCTTCGGCTCCGGGAGCCCACCACCTGGGTGGGGAGCTGGCCCGAAGGAGCTGGGGCCACACCGGGGGCGTGGGGGCGCCGCAGGAAACCCGACCCCTCAGTGTCCACAGCAACTGGCAGCAGGCGAAGGGGATGGAGCCTGGGCTTCCCGTGGCACCCTGACAGTGCAGGAAATGCAGTATTGGGGGGCGGGGGTCCGCGCCTATTCAGCTTTCTATCCCAAGCCACCTCTGGTTCATTGAATTGGATCACGCCAGCTGCTGACGCCACTTCCCCTGCCGACTGGGACTCTGAAATCTAGGATTGCTGATTCTGTGCTCCAGCCAGGGTGGTCCCCCAGTGCCCCCCAGCGGAGTTTCTTCCACCCGACACTCAGGCAAGAGTGGGAACCCGAGGACAGGCCGGCCTCCTCCAACCAATCTGTGGCTGTTTATAAACAATGACTTTTGCAGCTGAGACCTTCGGGCTCCCTGAGGATGCAGTCACGTGATGGTGGGGGGGGGAGGCAGTCGGTTAGAGCTTCCTCAGCGCCTCCCTGCGAGTCCTGCTGCTCATCCTTGTAGTCCCAGGCTAAGGAGATGGGTGGTGTGCATGGAGGTTAGGGCCATCAGCCAAGCTCCAGATCTGGCCTGCCCCAGCAGCTGTATACCCTTCCCACCGACCCTCCGCCCCCACCTCCTGCCCCAGGCGGGAGGAGGGATTAGAGCACCACAAATACTGGCTGGGGGCTGGGTAGACTTCAATAAGCTCTGGTGGTGGTGGAGGGGGGCAGATGCTGCTGCCCTTGCTTCCTCCCCCCATCCTCCTCCTGCCCAGGACCGGGTAATCCATCTAGGTGCCTGGAGCTGGCAGCTCTGGGCTAAGCCGACTTCCTGCTCCTCAGGGGCTAAGGAAGATGAATGGGTAGCAGGTTAGGTGAGACAAGTTCCCTGCCCCCACTCCACTGATGTCCTACTCTGCTCTGGCTCCCCTTTGCTCTTTTGGTGTTCCCTTTGCCCTGGTTGTCTTGTCTTTGCAGCAGCATCTTTCGCTAATTTCAGGGGCAGTAGGCATGAGATTTGTCCCCTCCTTGTAAGTGGCAATATGTCATCACTGACCCCACTGAGCTGCCACCGCTCTCTCTTTAGCTCCTGGTGTGTGGCATGGACAGTTGTCTGAGAGCTGATCGGCCATGGATGCTGGCCTGGCCTTGGCCAAAGGCTGGCCCTTCGCAAGCCTGAGCTGCAGGGTACTGGAGTTGTTTAGTGGTACTGCTGTTGTCTTCCCCTCTGGCACCCCGCACTGGTTAGGAAACCCTCCCCTACTCACAGAAGCCAGAGAGTAGCCTTCCTTCAGTCCCCTCCTTTGTTGGCCCTGCTGCAGTACCCCCTTCTGGGGGAGCCCGAGGCTTCAATGCACACCAGCCTCTCCCCTTTGCCCTCTTGTGGTTCAGAGTTTGTTGCAGCATGGGTCAACTCCCCAGCGTCTTTTGGTGGTGTTCAGGACCCCATCTAACTCACATTGCCAGTGGTCTCACAGGCACCCCTGCCCCTGCCTCGTCTCAGGCAAACCAAAGAGAAATGGGGACAGTTCCAGTTGCGTTGCCATAGGAGGGCATTTCCTGAGCAGGGACAAGCGGTAGCTTTGGTGTGGGGCCTGGATAATATCCCCATAGGTAGGAGGGCCTCATCTCTCTTTTTCTTCTTTCCCAGTTTCCCCTCTCAGCCCAATTATCCACCAGGACTCAGAGGGTGACAATGGGGTCAAGGAAAGTTTGCTTGCTGGTGCCCATGGGGCCAGCTCTCCTGTGTCCCCTGCTGAGTATGTCTCTCCATGGGTCTTGGCTTGGCATTACCATCTCATCCTACCCTGACCCTGCATCACTGGTCTGGGTGCTCCCCCTGAGGGGAGGGCAGATCTGTGTGTGTATCCAGACATTTACCTGGCCCCAGCAGGTGCAGAGTGACTGTTTATGGACAAACAAAAGAGCATTTGGGGGCTTGGCTGGGGAGCCCTGATGCAGGCCTGTGGGTGGGCTGATTTGTGCTGTGTGCTCCTCTGCTTTCCCTCCTTCAGCAAATCCTGCCTTGGACATGTGGTGTGTGCCTGGTCCTGGGCAGAGCCCTGGGTGCAGTGCAGAGCCGGATGTGTGAGGCTCTGATTGCTGTGGAGCTTACTGTCGAAAGGTCCCACAGCCTCTGGCCCTGAGGAGACATAAGAGTGTATTGGAAGGGTCACCAGGGTCTGAGTATGCACCGCACTTCTCTCCTGCTAGCCCCTGGCTGCCCCTAGAGTGCTGGGGTGCAGAGCGTGGGCCTGGAGCTTGGGCGTCATGAGGTCATCTTCCTATTACGTTTGGCTTGTTGGACCCTCTGTGAATGACTTTGTCCATTTTTGGGCCTCAGTAGGGTGACTGGGCAGAGCCAATGTAGGGTGGAGCCTGGGTCAGATGACAGAGGATTAGAGGTTGGCTGCCTGGGCCCCTTGGGGGAGGGGCAGATCTGGGAGAAGGGACAGCTGTGGTGGGGGTGGATTCTGGCCTGCTTGCCCCTGCCCCTGAGGCCCACTGCTTAGGAGTCCTCACAGAGGGGGGCCAGAGCTGGGCTGATGATGAGCAAAGGAAGAAGGCTCTGGCAGGGGTGGGAGTATGCACTCTTTCTCTCCCTCATGGCAGGCCTCAAGCCTGGTTCAGAGTGGGGAGGCCCAGCTGGGAGGGGGCAGGGCCCAGGGCTGGCGAGTTGGAGTAGATGCTCAGCAGAGGGAAGGCGCAATGGCAGTTATTTATAGGACCCTGACACATGGCCATGATGGCACCATGCTCGTCTGCTGGTCAAGGTCTCCTAACAAAGTAGCCCCATCGGCTTCAGCTGGAGCCAGGCCTGTACAACCAATCCTTACCCTCACGACAGCCGTAAGAGGAGCCACATGGCACAGAAGAGCAGGTGCCCTGGAAGGGGGCCCATCCGGGTCTGGGGGAGGGCCTGTGCTCCCCCCGTATTCTGCATTTCTCTTTCCACATCTTTCCTCTCTCTGTCCCTGGGTATCTGAGAACTCTTCTTGCCCCTCTTTCTCTGCCCACACCCCACCCAGTGTAACCTTTTCCTCCTCCTCTCTCTACCTCCCTGCTCTGTGTCTCTTCCCTCTGACCTCTTCCCTCAGAGCAGCTTCTCCCTGAATCTGAGTTATCGGTGTAGGTCTTTCACCTTGCTCGCTGAGGGAAGGCTTCTGAGCTAGCCATCATCTCTGGTAGGGTGTCTGTGGGGACTCGGGAGACATTTGGCTGGGAAATGTGGGCATGGAGAGGGTGGAAACATGGCCTCTAGACTTTCCCGAGCTCCAGTGTGCCCTGGCTGGGCTTGGGCCCAGGTGGGAGCTGAGTCCCCACCTAGGAGAGTCTGCTGGCTCATGCCTGGAATCAGAGGGAGGCCAAGGCTGTTTTGCCCAGGGGCGTGCAGAGAAGGGTGTGCTTCCTGGGCTGCATGGAACATGGAGAAGGTGTTTCGGAAGGGTCCATGTGGGCCAAGGTGCAGGATGAGAGTGAACACAGAAGGCCATTAGTTCCTTTGAAGAAAAGGGGCACGGTTGGGAGTGGTGAGGGGTGGCTGGGTGGTAGATTTGGGCCATATTTGACCAAGTCTTGTGGGGAAATCTTTGTATCTCTTGGATTCTCAGAGAAGTTGAGGTTTGAACTCTTCTCCTCTCTTCTTCGCAGATGACCCCATCAGGGGCCCCCTTTCCACCTCTGATTTCTGGCAGCCAACCAGGTCCCTGCCTCTGGAGTAGGCAATCTTGATCCAATTTGTCCCTTACAAGCTGTGTGACTTGGACAATATGAAGAGAATGCTTCTTTGCCTCCCTGCTGCCTTAACCCAAGGCCAGGCTTTGCCTGGTTCTGTTTCCATCAGGTTCTAGGATCCCTGGGGCCTACCCTCAGCATTAGGCCTCTTTCTCACCACAGAAGAGAGTACAAGGGCACATCGGAGAGACAAACATATGTAGGCTTCGCAGGCGGGCAGGCAGTCCTCAGTTCCCTGTCTATGGGCAAGTGGCAGGACCTTCATGTATAAACTGGGGCAATAATGGTTCCTCTGCACATACTGGTTTTGGAGAGTAAAGCCTTGGACAGGGCCCAGCACATGGCAAGTGCTTCCTAGATGCCTGCTCTGTGGGGCAGGGCCATACGATGAAGCCACCCAGGAGCCTGCCATCCCTGCCTAGTCCTGCTTCCCAACCCTGCCCCGTGAGTGTCCATTT